GTAAGATGCAACTCCATTTCATCTAATTTCTCCTGTACACTCAAATGAAAAGACTGACATCTCCTATCAACAAAGCGGAGCTGATTCTGAGTGAGACAAGAGCTTGCTGGTGAATCTAGATTCCTGCCACTGCTGAGCAACTGAGAGGTTTGATAGCGCCCTTGAAAACTAAGAGGTCTGTAGTGGGGTGACCCCTGCAGACAAAGAAACCAACCCTAACAAATATTTTAAAGGTGATTCGTGCTCACATTGACCTTTCTGGCTTCACTTACCCATCAAACCGTTTTTCTACCTACCAGAAAACAAAGTTCCTCCAGGAAGCGCAGTTTTAACACACTAGTTCCTAACATATACGGTAGGCCTCAGCTACGGTGATCTCCTGCCACCAAAAATCTATCAATCTATCAGGAAAGATCTCTATTCTGGGTGATGTTTATGAATGGAGTAAGACAATTTGCAGAGCTCCAGTTGCCTCTTCAAATCCCTCAACTGAGGGCAATCAGGATTCAAGAAGGCACAGAAACAGTTTCTACTGCAGATCAGGCATTTCTGTTGCTGTTGTTAGAGGTATTAGTTGTTTTTGATACAATATTGATCACCTGCAAACCATGGTGGGAATAGACAAGGCAGCTTTTCAGCAGGTTCTGTTTTACATCTTTCCGAGAAATCCAAAAAGAGTGATAAGGGACAACACATCTGCTTCTCCCAGTATCAAGAAAATCTATTGCACACTCCTCACCACACAGGACATACAGCAAGACATTTGAGGTGCCAGCAAAGAGAAGCAAAGATCATTTATAATTTTGTTTCATTAAGCTCTTTTAAAATGTTTAATTTTGCTTGGTAGTGATAAGTGGCATGAGAACTCTAGACCTACAGCAGATGTGCTAGCCCTTGGCTATTACGCTGTGACACATACTGCAGTTTTGTCCATGTAACTACTTTAGGGTTATATTAAAAAGCTCTTGAAGTAAGACATGCTAAGTTTTGTTTAGTGCCAGACCTGCTTTTCTCACCTCAGACTTTATAATCACACAGTCACTGAGTGCACCTGACTGATTTTAACCTGTCAGGCTGCAGGGGAGAAAAATAAATAAATAAAATAAAAAGCGGTGCATGCTTATACATTTAAAACCTGAAATACTGTGGAGACCCTGGAAATAAAGAATGCTCCTCTATCTATCCAATCTACCTATATTCACAGGCAGTAGCCCATACTGCACTGAAAAGCTCCTGAATGCAACAACTGACAAGGAAATCTGCTATGCAAGTCACACTTGCTTTTCTCTATCAATGGCCTGACTGCAGAGAACAATATATCTAGAAGCATAATAACAGAGACCATTAATACTTTGGAGGCTCAGTATAAAATTGCTTTCATTAGCACGTCAAGTGTTTATTTTCGCATTTTTGGTTACTACAAAACAAGCTCCTCACACACAGCCACTTACTCGACTTCCCTTGATTGCAGAGAGGGCAGTAACGAAGGAACCCGCTTTCCATGCCCTTCTGTAGAAACTTTTACACGCACCAGAAGGATATTGCTCCATTATCTCCAAACAATGAACCAGCTTGGCTTGTGGCAGCAAAATACTACCACAGAAGTATTACTGAGCACAGTGGAACAGTTTTCACAGGCTGCCACAAAGGGCATGTGTATGAAGGTGGCAGAAGGCTGTGAGAAGAGGAAGCAGTATTCCTCTTTTCTGTCTAAAAGGACACCGAGATTTAAGGAAAAATAAAAGCCATTCTTCCTGCGCCTCAGTGTGTATTTGCTAAATACTTTATGTCTAGTCATGGCACCACAGGCAAAATAATATAATGCATTAAATGTAAGTATCTTTGGGCTTGCTTTTATTGCTAAAAGCTCTCTCTTTTTTTTTTTCTTTAACTTGAGGTAACTAAAGCATGTGAACCATCTGAAGGTTAAAACGCAGTGAAGACAAAGCGCTTCCATTTTATCATGAGGAAAATTCAACACAGTAGACCTCAGGCAGAGCTGGAGTTTTATTTGAGACTGCTTATATGCATTAGCTACTCTGAATAAATAAATAAATAAATGTCAGTTTCTTGGAAAGAAAGACAAACCACGGGCTCAATAAAAATATTCAGTTTTGGTTCACATCACTTACTGACATCTGTCCTAATCTTCAAGGCTCACCATTAAAGTTGTTTTAATTAGATAGAAACCACAGCCTAGCCAGTAATGTCAACAATAGAAACAAAACTCTCCTCACAAACGTGTGCAAATCCCATTTACTTAAATGGAAATCATTCACAGGTGTGTTACATAAGGATCTGGCCACTTTGCTACTTTATGGGAATTCACCATCTGCAGCCTATCTACTTGACTTGGCTTCACAACGGAGGCGCCAGTAATTCCGTGGAAATCTGATGCAGCCCCCCCACCGCTGCCCCGCCACAGCAAACACTTTAATTACTTTTTTTCTCCCACATTGCAACACCTCTTCAGTCTAAATTTATACTTTCCATCCTAAATGTTACATGCCTGATTTTTGCCTAAGGACATGTGAATTCCGTCACTAGGTAGGTTAAATACTGTGGTGGTGATTAGACGCCTCAGCTCTGTACCAGCAAAACCTGTGGTAGAGCATCACATTTGAGGCATGCAGGTGTTTTGCAGTTTGGGTGATGCAGTCCTCCTTCTGCAGTCCTGCTCCCTTCACCCTCCCCATGCATTCACTTGTGCTCCACAAAGCGACCTGCAGGTCAGCACCTGTTGGGAACTGTCAACTAGGTGACCGTATCTAGTAAACTACAGAAACAGTGGAACAACATCAGCTCTTTTTTCAATCAAAAGGAAAAATCTGCAGTTCTTTTTCTTTCCACTGGTATGATGATGACTTTTAGTCATGTTCCAAATAAAAATACACCATAAAAGCTGTTTAGGAATACCACTGGATGTCTCTCCCCAGTGATGCCACACACCATTTAGCTTGCCTACAATTCGGTGTGAGTTTTGTCATCATGAAATTCACTAATCCAAACACAAAATTGGTATTTTTATTTCAGCTTGGTTTAAGGCAGCAGTAAAAGAAAGAAGACTGGTCAGGATGAGATTTCTTGAGTCTCCCCACACCTTCTGGTCAATGACAGCTATTGCTTTAAGTACTTGCCATTAACAACCAGTCACAATGTTAGTGACAAGATGTTACTACCAGTTACTTAGCATGATAGATGTTAACATTTTTCTGCTCTTTATGACTCACACTGTATCCCAGCCAGAATATTTCAGGATTGACTGCACAGCACCAGGTCAAAATGAAGAGGCTCTTGGAGCAACGCGTTGGGGAGCAGAATGAGACATGTCATTTTGGGAACATTAGGCCAAAAAGCATCCATGATAAGGAGGGGAACTGGATTAAAGATTAAGGTTCATCCTTTAAACTATCTCAAACCAGGGGAAACCTCCCACATTTGGGCATCAGCATTTTGCTCTTGCACACAGACAGGGCCAACATGAAAATCCGCACCATGAATATTAGTCTTTGATGTTAACATCTTCTAACAATTCTCCCAGTGAGATACATGTTATGAAAAGACACTTTGCTCCAATTTTAGAAGCCTGGGGATTGCATTACCTCTGCACACATGGGCAAACTGCCTGGTAAAGACTCAAGTAGAGGACAGCACTCTTTGTAGAACAAACTGTAAGCCTAAAGATTAGTGTCTTTAATTTTCAACCATGGATAGAGGTGATACGCTATAAGATCTGGAGCCATAAAAACCATAATTGAAGTGAATACAAACACAGTAAGGTTTTCCCATAGAAAAGGAAAGCGTGAATTTTATTGTCCTGTGAATTGCTGCACGGTTTGATTTACCTCACCAGTTTAACCAGTCAAACAGAATATGACCCGAGCACTGCACAACATGCATCACATTTTATACTATTAATTATATGAAGTCAGCACAGGTTAGAAATTAGCAACAATTTTCCATTTTATATCAGCAATACTCACCAGAAAATACCCGTAACAGAAAAGTAGCATTTGCAATTCTAAATCTAACTTGAGGGGAAAAAAGTACTTTAGAAGAATTACAGTCTTATGATCTAGTCCAAAAGATACTTTTCAAGTGTGTATGAATAACATTCTTAAATGAAAGTACACTTTGCTGGCTTTCTTAAGAATTCAGAGCAAACCTTCCCCCCCAAAAAAAGAAAAAAAAAAGAAGACTTTAAAAAGATGCCAGACCAAATTACCTTCAGCATCATTTTGAAGGTCACTAGATTGCTCCACTTTGCACGTTGTGGGAGACGGAGGCTGGTCTTTTTGCTCCAATCCTTCTTTAAGCATAAAAATGTATTAAACCTATTATTTTCAAACTGTACCATCACACGTATCATCATTACAGTTCAGCTATGAGCATTTTTCATCTCAGTACTTCATTCAATGCCTGATACCTACCTTTGTATCCTCCAAATTAATTATGACATCATAAAAGGAGCTCTTTAGTTATCTTTCAGTTTGGGCCAGATTCACTACCTAACTTTCATAGGATAGCAGTGAAGAAAGCTCATACTAAATGACCCACTTCTTCACAATCTCTTTAGAAAAAGAAAATTTAAGAAGAATAATGTTCTAATTCGCAGTTTTTAAGAGAGTATATATTACACATCATTATGGAGCCTTGGAGAAATAATTTGAACAAAATTATTTTTTCTTCCTAGCTCAATTCTCCATTCAAAATTACAATATATTAAGAAAGGGATATTGACAGAAATCGGTAATAAAATGAGTGGTAGGGAATAACGTTTGATAATGAATTAAAGCTACAGAAATGAAAATATTACAAAGTAGAAATGTTGAGGTTTAGGAAAAAAAAAATCCAACTTCTAGTCAGAAATCAACAGGCAGATGACGGCAAAAAAACCTCTCAAGTAAAAGAGTAACTCAGGCTAGTAAAGTTTAAGAACACCCCTATTCACAGCAATTTAAGTACAGCATTTAAAATCAGTTGATTAAACAAAAGAAAGGATTATGCAACATTTTAGAAGTAACTTGTCACACCAGCAACCGTAATGTAAGGCTCCAAATTATTATTTGTTTGCTAAGAGAGACCTCAAGGCACAAAGTGATAGCAGAGGCAACCTGTTATTAGAAAAGCAGGCTGAGTTGTAAATTCATCATAAAAAAGGGCAAATTTAATTAGGACATCTAATGAAAACACACTTCAACAAAGCATATACAGAAGTAAAAACCTGCAGAATAGGAACCTAACACTGATCATAACCACGAAGCTCACAAAAAGAGGAGTGAGAAATTCAAATGACACAAAAAATTGCCTACAGTCTGTGGGAGACTGAAACTGAGAGGCTGATGTTCAAGCTCATGCACTAATGCTAATGTAATTTGGACAAAATCACAGAGTAATGGCTGGAAAAACAGACTCCAAAATTTAAACTCAAAGGTACAGGAGACCTCAAATATTTGTAATCAGGAATTTAGGATGGGATATGACCCTGCTTGATTTAGCTCCACTGCCATACCACGAGCAAATAAGTCACAGCTAATTGGCAATTGGAAAAAAAAAAAGATTCTACATAAAAATTGTAAAATGCTTATGTTTTGAAAACTACCATATTTCCATAAATATCCCACAAAATCATTCGTCCTAGATGTCCGTGAATAGGTAAACCAGCAGTCAGATGTCCAGCTCTCATAAAATATTTAGTTCAGCAGAAGATACTAACCTTCAATATCCATCTCCTTCCCTTCTACAACTATGTGCATCTTAGAACAAAAAGTTAAAAGTTTTCAAACACTGGGTCAGAAATAAGTAAGGATATAGAGAAGGAATTCGTAGAATCAAGGAGAATACTGTATTCTTTCAAAAGACAAAAAGGGAGTAAATCCTAGGCTTCACAAAAAAAACAGAAAACTCATAAATGGTCTCTGTCCATCTTCCTGGGAAACTAGTTATTCTTTTGCGCTTTTGTCTTAAAACAAGAGTGCCTGGATTTGGAAAATGGCATGAATTTACAGGAAGCAACAACTCAAAATGTCAAGAAACTTTCCAAAATGGAGATCTGTAAATGAATAATTAAATTTATCTTATTTAATTTTAGGGAACAAACATTGTATTCCTACAAACATCATCGAGCACAGAATTTGCTTCATTATAGAATGTCATGTAGTTCAGGGTAGGAGGGGTCCTTACTGATTAGCAAATAACTGATTTATTGCAAACAGTCATGCTTTGAGGTTTGGCTTGGTATCAGGAAATAGACCCTTCCGACAGCATGTAACATTACTCATGTCATCTGCACTTGAAAGTCACATACAATATTTTGAGGAAAATGAGAGTTTTCAAATGCTAAAACTGATTTATTTCTTGCCCAGTAAGCATTCAAAGCTAACCACAAGAAATGCAGTGGAGGACAAGAAAGGTTTAAAAAAAAAAGAAGGAAAAAAAAAACACAACGAAGACACTTTGCAACTCTTCAAAAGGATTATTCAAGAGTAATGGTGACGTTCAACAAGAACTTCAATTTAAATGACAGAAATCCTGAAAATAGTCATGGTTTTAAAGATTGATTCCTGCCAACATTCCTCTATTCATTTAAAAATAACTTGAATATTTAGAACGGACCATATTGATGTATGGTTTCCTTGGTTCTAATGACACCTCACACTACCTGCTATTTTGCCTTTTTTTTTTTTTTTTTTTTTTTTTTGTTTCTTTGACAATGATTCACTTCAGGAGACAAATCAATAGGAGAGTTTCAATCAACACACCCCTCTGATGATGATTTTTATCATCTAACAAATCTGTGAGGCTTTCTGCAGTCCTACAAGTCAAATGTCAATCAAGTTTAAGTGCAAGTGTCCAGGCAGGTCTTTCAGGAGTATCTGAATACTTTAGATAATATAGCCATCATCTTAACTGACAACACAGAGAGGGAGGGGGCTTACATTCAGAGAGGTCAGAACTGTCACTATTTAAAAAGAAATGGTCTTTCTGCACTTTACAATGAACCTTAAAATACTCACAAAAGAAAGTAGAGGCATGTCCCAGGAGAATAAGATTTCAATCACAATTTCATTGCTTTTTTGCATATTTCCTTCATTCCAGAGAAAAAAAAAGGGATTTTTGAAGGCTTCAAAATAATATATTTTTACAATGGCCAAGCTGCAACTCTTAACCCTTTCTGTTCTTCAATAATATGTAGGTGTCCTTCAGAATAGTTATCAAGTCTTATAGGAACACTGCAAATTTCTGTTTAAATTCTAGATTGGAGTCTCAACTGATTGTATTCAAAGCTTTTCAAATTGTGATAATCCAAACAAAAAGGTTTCTGTTAAGCATTCTATGATTCTATGATTCTGAGCTGTAAGATTGTGAGAAATGACTCTTCCTTTTAGACTAATTTGAATGGTCAACAAGTCCTACAGTGCATCTCAAAGTGAGCTCTTCACCAAACCCTTTACAACTTCCAAGTCTCACTAGTTACAAGGGCTTCTTATTTTTCTCTCACTGAAAGAGAAACTCTCCCTCCAAAATGTCCAAGAGTGCATATGTAGTGGAACACACAAAGAAATAAAAATTTATACAGCCTCGTTTATAACAGGGCATTTACTATTTTGTCTTGCTCTTTTTGAAGTAACAAATAAGTAGTGAAGTAGGATGCTCTGGACAGACACAGGATAACTAACAGGGCATTTATTATGAATGATTGTTATATGAGAAAAAAAGATGGCGATGGGGCAACCTTATGTGGTTGGAAGGCTTCACAGCCAGGGCAGGATGAAGCTGTTGAGGACGGATATAGATTCAAAACTCAAACACTTTTCTATGTGCTTATTCTTTTTCTCTTTTCACTTTTTTTTTCCTTCTTTGAATAGTAAGAGAATTAACTTATGTCAGTGCATAATGACGCAGTATTATTGTGCAGGAATCTAGACTATGCTGCTCATAATCTCACATGTTTCCGCAATTTCCAGATGCAGTCACTGCAACTGGACACAGAGTTATGACAGTGTTAGGGGTTATTTTGCATGCTTCTATGCCTGTATATTTGAATCCATGGGTATAAAAGCCAAGTCCTTCAGAAATTCAGAAATTACATAATCTTCCCTTAATGGAGTTTAAAACATTAAGCATAATCACTTTGCAGTGTTAAATCACTGAAGTTGAAGTATACAAGACTAGGAGGTAATTTGGTCCTTCCCTTTGAGAATATCATTCATAAAGGAAATCTGAAATGTAAAAACTGCAAAAATCTGTACCTGTTATTACTATATTTGCCCTTTTGACTTAAGCTATGCCAACAGTGAACTATGAAATGTGGTAACACCAAGGCTGATGGCATGGTTATGTTAGCAGCTGCTACAAGATAGAGCATTCAGAAAAACAAACTGAGGAATTAAAATCCTATGAGTTTAGATGCCATCAAAGGACTGGTCTTAGATATGTGTATTTAATAAGACTGTTACTTTATAATTATTTTTATTATTCTAGTATACCCAATATATGCAGTAATATTATGAGATTAATTTATTAAAATGAACATTCATGCCTGATGATTTTACAGTATTAATATAGATTTTAATGGGGAGTATCTGGTAGACCAGCAATTAAGATATTCTTTTGTTTGTTTGTTTGAAGTAAAATTATTTAAAAGAAAGTCTTTTTGAGTGTAATAAGATATCTGCATGTCAGGGTGATAGAAACATAAGGCAGAAATTACTCTCCTAATGTGTCCATCACTCAATAAAATGCATCTGGTATTCTTTCTCTATGCTAATTCTCTAGGTGTTCCCAAGGTCTAATCTAGTGTGTACTGAAGTCAGTGGACATATTCCCACTGACCTCAGCATCTCTTTCTTCTGCTAACTCTTGCCACCAGGTTTTAATTAGGATGGATTCTGTAGTCTCTGCCTCATTCTATTACATTTCCCATATGGAAACTGGCACAGATCCAGCCAGACTCCATCACACTTGACTCCCTGTGCTTCCCCATGTTTTCTAGCTATTGGCCCTTCAGAAATGCCTAAACAGTAGGAAGGAGCAGGCTTAGGAACTTAGATGAAATTTAGAATATTTGAGTCTCCCAAAGGTCCTACACACCTCGTGTGGGATATATGCACTCCAGGAACCTAACATTTCTTTTCTTTTTGCTTTGACTACAGGTTGGTTATGAATAACTCAACAACCCCAAATCATCAATACTGGTGCCAACTGCTGATTCCATCTGCTGGAGTCATGGCCCATGAAGTCAAGTGGAATGAAGAACGACAATTCAATTAATATCTCAAAGTGATGACTGCAGGTTAGACTCTATTTTCCCCTCTTAGCAATTTAAAGCAGTTATCCTTTAGACTGATTACCGTCTTAATATAAAAATGAAAACTCCCGTCAGAACAGAGATGCATGTATTTGTAACTTCCTACAAATGTATCTGACAGTCACTAAAAGATTCCTACACAAAGAGGTCTGATGAACATAACTCCTGACCACTAAAGTAAATACACAAAAGGTATTTCACTTTGGCTACAGAAGTGTTGATTGCTGCCAATCAATTCACTGATTCCTAAAATATCTCCAAAGGATAGAGATGGCCAATAGAAGCTGTTGAAGTTCATAGCACTACAGCACCCTACAGGCCAGCCACCAGAGAAGCTCTGATGTCATCTGTCTCATACACACAAAAAGCAGACATACAATGAAAATAACTTTCTCAAATGACTTAATTCAAGGATAATTTCCCAGAGCAGCTATGTAGCTTTCACCTAAATTAATGAAACTGTGAGGGATACAATGCAATAGATAATTAAGTGAAAATATACTTCTTTGGAATTTTAAACAGCTTTAAAAAATAATCAACATAATTTGCATAATCTCCATAAAAGCAACAAGACAAAAGAATGCCAAGTAATCAGGTTTATGAAAATATACATGCCATGATAATTGTAAGAAATGGAATTGGAAATGCTAGAAGAATGCTGCAAATTCTACTGTATCTTTGGCAAGTGTTTGTCATATAATGGCAGTCTTCATTTTTCCAGTTTTATGTATTCAAGTGCAACTACATCAATCATATTAGTCAATTAAAATTTCTAAAAGCTCCTATCCTTCAATAATCTTGGCAGTAAAAAACCTATGTGTAGTGACATCCACATGCCAGTTTAGCCATAGAAGTTATCAGTTAAAAGTCATCAATTATCTACCTGTGTATATCCATGTTTACATACCTGTGCATATACAATATTACTGAAGAATTTCACAGGCTAGTTAACTGCTTGCATAAATCATCATAATCTCTTTTGTCTTTAGGAGAATCTTGCCGAGTTAGCTAGCAAACATACTGATTCAAAAGCTTTTATTGCTCTTTGCTGGCTGGCCTATTTCTGCCTTTTCCCATGTGGCTCTCCTATCAGATCTCATGGTCAATTGTGGGGCCCATACTGTTTGGTACCTCCAACAGCTTGTGTGATGAGACTGAACACACCCTCAGAAAACCTGCAGATGATGCTCAATTATGAGAAGTGGTTTACATGCTGAACAGAGGAGTACTGGTCCAGAGAGAACTGAGAAATGGGAAGACTGGGCCACCAGAAACCTCATAAACTTCAACAAGGGGAAGTGCTGACTTCTGTCTATCGGGCAGAATAACCCTATGCAGCAATCATTACAGGTCAGGAACTAATTGCTTGAGCAGCAGCCCTTCTAAAGAAATTCTAGAAATCACAGGGCATACAACATTGAGCTAAAGCCAGTACTGCAGTAAGAAAGCTACATACCAGGCAATTTTTGGTGTAGCCAGCAGGATGAAGAAAGATACCATCCCTTTCTACTCAGCACTAGTGAAGCTGTACATAGAATACCATATTCAATTTTCCACTGCCCTGTTCAGGAAGGATGTCCAGAAACTTGAGAGGGCCCAGCAAAGGCCTGTCAACATAAGTCAGGAGCATAGGGAACACAGGCTTCAGGTAGAATTTGAGTGAGCTGAACTTGTTTAATCTGGTTAAGAGAAGGTCCAGGGAGAATCCTACAACCAGGGCAGCCTACAAGCACAGGACAGGAGTTGCAGAATTGATTGAGTAAAACTCTCCTCTGTAGATGGCAGATGATACAATATGAGGCACATGCCACAAGGAACTCAGGAGGTTCAAACTGGATATTAGGAAACTTTCACTATATGAGTAGTGCACGAGAAGGTAATCTAAGAGACTGTGAATTCCTCATCCTCAAAGATTTTCAAGACTCGATAAGAAAGCACTACTGCTGTCCCAGTCTGGTGCTAATGACATCTCTTCTTCAAGGTAGAAACTGGACTAGGTGACAACCAGAGGCTCCATCCAGCCAACAGGTCTATGACTCTGTGTCATCGTATCTATTTCTCATTCCTTCTTTTTGTTGTTCATTTTTTTCCTCATCCCTCAATTCTATCCATCCATTTCAGGACTAGCTCTAAATGTTAGCACATTAACATGTGTTAAATGGCAAACTAGGAGAACCAGGAAAAGGAGAGGAAAAAAAAAAAAAAAAAAGGTTTTCTCCAACATTGTCCCAAAAGTTCAATATATTTAAGAGTCTGATGGAAAGTTTTGCTGATATATTCATTGCACATAAATCATAGTCGCTAACTACAATGCACATGACTCAAGAATTACAGCATTAATACCTTTCTAAAGACAAAGACACTACAGAATTGTAATTATTTCTCACTCATGTTCAAGCTACTTATTAATAAAAGCAACTCAGAGGCTCATATCAGATGATGACATTAGAAAGTTAGTCTCAGCCATTTTTATCTTGTCTTATTTGTTATCAAAAATGGTTACTGTGGTAACTGTTAGCAACGAATGATTGGTACTGCTCATTACAACCAAGGCAATTAGTCTTAAGAACTCTCTGTTGGGGTGATGCTTAGCAGAAGCAATATGTTTTGGCATGAAATATTATTTACTCACCTGTCTCCTCACTCAACTCAGTCTCTTCTTCATTATCATCATCTGCCAAAAAAAAAGAAAATGATTAATGAGAATAGCAGAAAACACCTAAAATATAATATTCAATGCTTCAAATTGCTCATATCTTAAGTTACCTCCTCCCTTTTAACATCTTATAGTGACATGTGGAGGTGGATGGGAGAAGGGTTTAATATTAGAGGAGATGTGAGGAATAAAGACAGAGAAGAAAGTTCTGTCCTGAGTTGCATAAAATCAGATTGTATTGTCTTTTATAACATGTGTTTGTTTGTTTGTTTGTTTGTTTTTTCTGTTTTAAAAGTGGAATGGAACCTGGTTTAGTTGTGAAAGTTGTTTCCTGAGAACAGCTGAAAAGTTTAAGGGTAGTAGTTATTCAGAAAAATTATACTAAAAAAAAAAAATACTATAAATTTACCAAAGAGGATTTAGGTTTAAATCCAAATATGGGCTATCCAAGAATTGAAGACTTTCAATTATTAAGATGTATCAGGTCTTAATAAAGCAGGTTCCTTTTGCAAAAAGTTGCTTTGTGGTAACAAAGGAATCTCTTACCACAAACTATTTTGCTGAAAAAAAAAAAAAGATTAGCTCTAATTACCATCTTGGTCATTCAACCTAATCATGAACTCACTGATTATATAAATTTATAACAACTACACTCCTAACTCATACACACTCCATCTACAGTCTTTTAACTGGATTTGAGCACGTGCAATTTCCCTAGCCAGCCCACGATTTTTGTTCAAAGCCTAACATCTTTTAAACATGGGTTTGTGCAGATTGAAACTACCTTTTGCACACAAAGGACTTTTGTAGCATCATGATTAACTGTACTGGAAACTAACAATAACACTTAAGTCCCAATCTACAGGATCAGACCTTTACCCCATAAAATCCAGAGACCCAGATGCTGTGACACACCCTGAGTACTAAAGCCCTGCTTTCATCGAGATCTGGAGCCCGAAGCACTTTTTTAAGCAGAATGAGAAAACAACTCTTCATTAATAGTAGATACCTCCACTGGGATTTATGTTTGCACACCAGCTACTAGCACTAAAATCACAAGTGTGCAAATATTCATGGTTACTTGTGAAACAACAGAAGATAGATCTTCAAGCGTCCTTCTCCCCCTTCTATCACATTCAAACATGCTCTGGAGAGCATGTTTCAGAAGCCACTAAATGACAGAATGTTACATTTCTCTTGAGTACACTTCAGTCCTGCATGAAGGATCAGGTTTTGATAAAGTCACTGAACGCTGGACTTTCTTTTACGTTACTCTGCAAACAATTGCCTTGGGGTTCAATAAGGCACATCAACTCCTGGGCTATGATTTTGTATACGCTTGGGAGTTTTGAAAGGCATTTTTTCTGAGAAAAAGAGAAAGAAAAATATCGTTGAAAACAATGGGAATTGGGCCACTGACTTGAACAAAGCCAAGATTTTTTAGCTGAAGTCCCGAAATTTTTCAACAAACCATTCAGAAAGTACTTGGTTAATGTAGAACTTACTTATTAATTATTCAGTTTCCAATAACATGTTCTTCCCATGAAAGCATTTATAATGACACCAGCATGACAAAACTTCATATTAACCTAAGAGTTGACACTAAATCTGCATAATATAATATTTTAGCACACATACATCAGCTAGTCTTCTGTGCAAATTCTTAATTATAGTTCAGGAAGTGACTTGAAATATGAGATTCCCAAAGCAACAGAATAGTTTCTAAGCTGGTGATAATGGACACAGACAAGAACTCTGAAGTGATTAAAAAGTAGTGAAGTCTTTATGCAAAATAATTACGAAGCAGCAAATACTGCTTTTGTGAACTAAATGTGAATTAAGGGTAGTTTTCCTGGGAAAAGGAACTTAAGTCTTGCTGAAAGGCAGTGAAGTCCTTGCATCATTTCTGCTAATGGAGGGTTGGACTCCTAACTGTTTCTGTGGCAAGATATCTAGGTCACTGTGGTGCTTTTGAAAATTCTATCTCAGTCTATATCTGAATGAGTTTCATTTTGGCACACAGCACTCCCTGGTCATTTCATGTGTCCATAATTCTCGTTCTCACACTATTAATGCATCTAGTGGAAGCGCTTCCCTATCAAATATAAAGTAGTCTCTTTCACTGACCTTGGTAGGGCTGGCTGGAGTGATAAACACTGTGTTTAGTTACCAAAGCTGTGTGCCAAAAGCAATTATTTTAGATAAAAAATAGTATTTTAGAAATCTATAGCCTATGTTCATTCATCTTCCCCCAGAATGTATGATACTAACAGTAGTTTCTCATTTGCTTGTTGTGAAGAAGTAAGAGCAAGTAAAAATATACTTTCCTCAAGCTCTACATGCTTAGTATAATGGGAAACTAAAGCTAAGATTGCTATAAATTAGGTCTGTAATACCTACATTTATTTTTCACATTTCCTTTTCATGTTTTTTTCCCTTCTAAAGGAAGCTTTCTACAGGTTTGCTGTCACGAGAGTCCACGAGAGTCACCAAGAGTGATTCTCTTGTGGCGCTAGTAACATTTCTTTAAAGATATATTGTCATTGCTAGATGCCCAAATTCACACCTTTGGAAGCCCACAGGTGAGGTCCTGCATAACTCTCAGTCTTACACAAAAGCTCTTAGAAAATTCTTTAAATAGGAAAACATCTACTAGTGCATGCGTGGGTGCACGTACACATGTGTGTGCCCATTCCTGGCTATTTCTGCCTGGAAAAGCAGAACAGCAACCTGCCACATGGCTTCTCCATTAAAACCCTGAATTTTGGAAACTCTACACAAGACCTATTGGAAGAAGAATGATAGATCTTTCAGCCAGTAGCAAGAGGACAACTCCTGGTGATCCTCTGGAAGGGGTAGCCTACCCTCAAAAAACTCCCATCATTATTTGGAAAGCCTGGGATATAAGGAAACCACTTACTCCAAAAGCATCATATGGTTAAGAGTGTAAAATTTTCCAGTTAATAATTGGACTATAGTCTATAAAATAATTTACAGCTAACAGTTAATCTGAATCTGTGATTGAAACTTACCCTCTAACTCTCATATTATCTGAGGTAACTATATCTCTAAGGATCACAGAGCTTTACATGTGGGTGCAAGTTGCTCAGAGCATACACATTTGTTTAAGTCACAGACTCCATGGTAGACACATATATCAAGGGATGTCTGTTACTCTTCCATCACCCTCTCACTCATTACCTGCTGGGCTCTGTGAAACAGAGTAATTGCACTGTAGTTCCTCCTACTGAGCCTGGTGAGGATGACTTCTTCTGTCATACACCTGCTTGTGTTTTTATCTTTTGCCTCTCTGGTCAGGTTCTTGCTCTGTCTCATTAGCTGTTCCGTGCAAGCAAGCACAAGCCAGATGGCCACAACCATCAGTCTGTGTTAGATTTATGTTGGGAACAGAGAGGTAAAAGGCTCTTGGAACTGCCGCTAATCCCCAAGGCCATTAAATCGCTTCTCCCATGTTGCTCATGTTTCTATTTACACTGTTCTTCGTGCTAGCATGTGCAGAGGCAACACCATGCAAATGCATTCTCTTATCTTTACCTTCAGTGCATGCATAGAACAGCTTTTAAACAAGAGCCAGCTCCAAGGTGTGGGAGGCTACTCTTTTTTATAATCAGTATTTACGTCCCACTCCCCAGCCACCCAGTGCTCCCTGCCAGCTTTCTGGCTCCTTCCTACCTTCCTCTGTCTTTCTTCCATTTCCTTGTCTCATCGTTCACTTTTTATTCATTTCCTCAGCTGTTCCCCAGCTGTTTCCTTATTTCCAGCCATTTCCTTATTTTCAGCCCATCCATGCAGCTCAGTCTTCGGAGCATTCCCCCAATCTATTGGATATAATCACTGGAAGAGCTGGGTGAGCACTCTTCGGTGAGTCCCCCGGTGGGACTGGGCCAAACTCAGCCCAGTCACTGAAAGCTCCCTTTGCAGCCTGTACCCAGGCAAATAATCTTTGTCCCAAGGCTTTACCCAACCACCTATCATCTTAAAAAATTCAGGAAACTTATTAACCACAAGTCTTATATCTATTTTTGCTCCTTAGTATCTGAAAAGCAGTTTTTGATAAGACCCACCCAATAGGACCTTCCCAGTCATACACTGTCTCTTCTCTTCAACCTAAAGGAGTCAATGCTCTTGTAGCATAGCAAAATACAAAAAAACGCCCTACGACTTAATGAAGATAAGACTCTAGGAGCGCACTAGCCCTTTCGATTTTTTTCGTCCCTCCAACTCGGTCTTCACTGGCAGAATACAACTGATGATTGACCCATGGCACAGAAAAATAACATTTTTGCTGAAGGAAAGTAGATATGGAAACCTCTGGCAGATAAGATCAACTAAACACAGGCCTGACTGTTTTCATATTAACTTATAAAAATGTATCTTTTCTATGAAGCTTCCCCTCATGCCTGTGCTCATGAGAGGAAAAAAAAAAGAAAAAAAAATAGAAAAGAAAAAGTAAAACAAAAAGATTCTTAATAAGAAAAACATATTATTCCGGCTTGGTGTTGGAAATGGAAGAAGAGAAAGATTTCTCTTTCTTTCTTTCTTTCTTTTTGTTTTGGGCATTTGTATGCCAAAATCTTGTATGCAGAGCAACAGGCACTATATAAAACCCACCTGATGCTAAGTGAGTTGGACTGAATTTTGCTTAGTCTGTTTTCATTATCAGAAATTTCCACTGATAAACAGCCTTCCTCCTGGCCTTACTGCAGCATCAGTGCAGTTTTTCTTCCTGCGTTGCTTAGTTACACCAGTCCCACAACATCAGAGTCTCACTGAATGCAATATGCGTTTGTAGCTTTTGAAGCCCTATCAAATAGAAATCCTTAGCATCAGACTCCCTAAGAAGTTATACATTGTTTTTTCTGTTTTGCTTTATTTATTTATTTTATTTTTTATCACCACACAGATGGCTTCTTTCATGCATTATATCACTTGATCTGCAGTAAAATACATATACCCTTATGAGCCACAGCTGCATATAGGGGCTGGGCAGCAGTTTCCATT